TCCAACCTGGCGGGTTGATCGCTAGCTTGAAACAGCCAACCCATCGGGTTGAAAACTCCCAACTCGACGGGTTGGAAGGTTTTTTTAAAAAAATAAAAAAGTTAACCTGTCGGATTGACATATTGAAACCCGCCCCGCCCCGCCCGATCGACGGGGTATATAACCCGACCCGCCTTTTAGGCGGTCCGGATTGAACCCATCTTAATGAAAGTCGGGCTAGGGTTGACTCGCCTAACTCAGCCCATTTGTTCCACCTCTATACACAATCATTAAAGTACATATGTAACCACCACTAGATGACCTGATGATAAAAAAGCAAAAAGATCGAACATAGATTCTTGAATTCGAGTCCCCCAAGCACTAATAAAGGTGGTTACGCCAGAAATTTATTCGACTGTTAACTTCAGGGCCCCAGAAGATTAGTTGAGGTATACGCAAGCTGATCCGAATGCTCCTGGCTAACAAAAAAAAGCAGTACATACGCTACATATCCTTTTCGCTTTAATCTTTACATTACACATTTACACAATAATTTGCTCCCATTATTATTTTTTCTTCTACTTCAAGTCCATATGCATTCACTGAGTATTCCGTAGTTAATATTTTGACATTTCCAAGGCTTTCTAAGTTCTTGTACAATGGTACTCCTGTGAACAGCAGACAACCTGGTGAGTGGTGAGGCCTTGAGCAACTCACAACTTCCCCAGAATCCACTAAATGATCGATGGAGGAAGATAAAAAGTATAGTGGTGTTTCATCTATCCCATGGATATCAATAACCAGCAATATTTAAGTTTACCCCTTCTAACACAACTCATACTTCCTCTTCGATAAGCCAGAGATTTTAGGGCCAGTTTCGTTTCTCGCTTCTCAATATCAAAACATGACTCTACATGGCAGTCTACTATATCAATCCTCTGTCCAATAGCATTGTTTCCACTTCCGCTACATCCTCCAACCTATCTGCATTGCGATAAATCCTCATTAAAAGTTCGAAATTATGTTCATTATCAGGCTCCAAATCAAAAAGCTTTTGAGCAGCAATCTCCCCAATCTCGACATTCCCATGAAGATAGCAAGAGTATAATAATGCTCCCCACACAGTTGGACCAGCCTCAACCTCCATTTTCTCAACTATCATTGCATAAGCCTCGTCAATCATTCCTGCCCGTGCATACAGATTCACCATACATGCATAGTGTTGTGATCTTGGGCTAATTCCATACGTCTCTCTCATAATAGAAAACAATCTCTCTCCATCCTTCACCATACCTAAATGAGCACAAGCCGATAGTAACGACACAAATGTGATATTATCTGGCAAGACACCATCCTTCTCCATCTCCTCAAAATACATTAACACTTTAGGGTCCTTACGATGAGCAGAAACTATAGAATTCCATGATACAACATCTTTTTCAGGCATGTGACCAAATAACCAACTTGCTCGATCTAACTTTCCGCTATTAGAATATAAAACAATCAAAGAATTAGCAATAGACAAATTCCATTCAACTCCACGCCTAAGAATCCACCCATGAATTTGAACACCAATCTTTAATGACACATTAGCAAGAATGGCTGATATAGCCACTGAATCGGGTTCAAATCCATTTTGAACCATCCCACCGAATATATCCAATGCCTCAATTAAAAGCCCGTGACGAATATAACCAATCAACATTGAATTCCAAGAAATCAAGTCCTTGTCATCATTCTTGTCAAAAATTCTTCTAGCCTTAACGATGTCACCACATTTTGCATACATGTCAACAAGCGCATTAAGCACAAATCCATCATAACCAAATCCAAAACGTACCGAGCCACGGTGCACCGCCTCACCGACCTGAATTGACCCGAGTCCAGCGCAAGCTTTCAAAGCACGAGGGTACGTAAACTGGTCTGGTTCAATACCCTCTTCCTCCATTTGAAAGTAAAGCGCTATGGCATCTTCATATTGACCCAATTCGGCATATCCCGATATAAGCGAATTCCAAGGAAACGCAAATGAATTTCGCTTTGGCATTTGATCGAACAGTTGGTGAGCGTTATCTATATCGCCGCATGACGAGTATAACCTCAACAGTTTCGCTGAAACGCCGACGTTTTTGCGTAAAATGTATGTGGGTATGAGACTATGAAGCTTAATACCGTGATTAATGGATTTTAATTGGTAACATACTTCGAGTAGCGAAGAGAAGATTTCAGTGTCTATGGTAATGCCTTTCTGAATAGAGGTTTCGAGGTCTTTAATAAGGGTATCTAAGGCTTGAAGTTTATTTTGGGGTAATGGTTTGTGGGTGATTAGCAGTGGAGTTGGGGATGATTTTGGGTAAGAGGACAAGATGTTTTTCTTGTTTTTTAAAATTTGATTCTGTTTTTGTTGTTCTCGTATTCTGTTTTTCTTTCTTCTGGAAGCACAGTGGAGTGTTAGGGAAGAGCTGAAGCTTGGTGGTTGTAGAACACTCATTGTTTTTGGTTTAGGTTTTGGAGATGACCATATGGAGGGAACTCATCTTATTGGGTTTTGTATTATTATATTGAACCTTAACTATTTTTTTTTTCTCAATTCATAAGAACTTTTAAACAGTTTAATATATAGTAAGATAACTATTTGGAGGCGATCAGTTCAAAGAATGTTGGATTATTAGAAATGTTAGATTATTAGAAAGTTAAATTATCTTGAAGATTACTGAGAATTTTTAAGAAAATGTGTTTGGTTAATTAGTGAGTATATTATATTAATATGTTTGGTTGGAAGGAATAAATTGGTGGATATATTATTTAAATTATTGAATTGTCCTCTAATTAAATATTTATATTATATTATTTTTTAATATTGATTATTATTTGGATTATTATAACCCTTTTGCATTAAAAAACTTAGCAAAAACAACCTCATAATAAAAGTTTGGAAAATCAATAAAGCACCCCCACCAACCCAGCCACCGTAGGCTGCCGACAACTGGCAACCTAACGACGCACGGAAGGTAGGAAATGACCTCCGTGCGTCGTATGGCCATTTCCGGCCAGAGATCTAACCAGAAATGGTCAAACGTGACAGATCTGGCCTTTGACGGCCAGATCTGTCGATTTGACAGTCAACGGCCATATCGGTGCACAACGACCATTTTCGGCCTTCCGTGCGTCGTTCCGACTACGACGATGGTTGCCGATGACACGTGATAGGGGTGATGGCTTGAGTGAGCTGCAATTTGTTTTGAATTCAAAGGTAATTTTATCCAAAAAGTTAATTAATTGAGGTGAAATAGTAAAAATCATATTCATGTAAATAAATTTTAAAATAAAAGCATTATTGTCGTAAAATTTTATTAATAAGAGATAGAATTGTAACACAAAAAAGATTACCTTAGTAATCTTAGAATACCTAAGAAAATGGAGGTAATCAGATTACCTCCAATATTACCAACAGTAACTACTATTGGTATTTGAAAATTATCAGAATTTTATATTACTTGACAACCAATTTATATTACTTGACAACCAAACGTGGTAATCAAGTAATATAAGATGACATAACTCCAGTAATCCCACATTACCCCCAACCAAACGCCCCCTTTATGGTATTCTTCTTGGAGTTGAACTAAAGTTTTTTAAGTAGAATTTATACGAGTAGAACTTTTTTGAATCTTTTTTTTTTTTTTTTTTTAATCACTACGAGTGTCTAGATCGGCTTGCGTGCACCTCAACTAATACTTTGAAACCCTAAAACTACCGATCAAATAAGAATCCCAGTGGCCACCCTATTAGTGACTGGAGGGACTCGAATTCAATAATTCATATAACTTCCTTTGGCTCTCTTTTGAAAATTTTAATAATTGTTGATTCAGAAAATGTAAAAAATAAATCGATATTAATTTATTAAAAAGGGTTTAATATACAAGAATAGATCAAATCAAATTTGTAAAATTGAATAAAAATAGATCTGAAATTTCAACACAATAAGTAAATTCAAAAAGAGGTTACGTGATATGAATTCATGCAACCTCAATTCATATATCACCCAACTTCAACCAATTTTAACTCAACCTAAACTAGGATTCACTTGTAACGCCCTAAAACAAATCTGGCCAACACTCCACAAACACACACAACCCTTTTGACAACTTAGAGTAACACTTTTTATCTATTCTCAATCAACACAAACTCATTCTACTTGCAAACACAACAGAAATGAGATCACAAACAAGACAAGTCAAACCTGGAATTGAGATAAATGGTAACCAAAGGGACAAATAACTTACAAGAAAAATGACCAAGGATCATTCAAGCCTAAAGAAACTCCACCAGCTTGAAAGATTAATCCATCACCAAGTTTGGCCGAACTTGGGTAAAGGAATTCAAAGAGAAAACAATTCTCCAAGGCAAACACTATTCATGCAATATTCATTGACTCTTTCATATTATGAAAAAGTGGTCTTTAAATAGGCTTTACAAAACATAATAATTATCCTAACAAATATTACAATAAAATAAATAATTTAAACTTATTTATTAGATCCTTTAAATTTAATTAGATAAAAGATCGCCGTTAACTCTTTGTCATCCTCGATGTCTTATCTCCCTTGTCTTACAAAAAGAAATGAGAAAGAAAAAGAAATTGCATCATATGTGATATGATAATTGAATATTCGTGGTCATCAGTTGAATGATACGACTCAAACCACTCAGAATTTTTTGGCCTATGATATACCATAGATGGGGTTTAACTACAACAGGGCATGAGAGTCCCGGCAGAATATGCTACGTACATGTATCCTCATGAAGGAAAGGGCAGTAAACAGAGTTAAAAACAATTGCTGCCCTCTAGTCTGATAGATGTTTGTATCTACAAGTTCCCAGAATCCTTGCTGAGAATATCCACTCCTTAAGATAGTACTTGTGCAATTAATCATATGATGTTGGGGAAATGGGCACCGGTAACTCGCAAGAAATTACCTGAACTTTCCATGCTTTATGTTACTCTTGACTCAGTATGATTACAATTCATCCGATCAACTGCTGCAGAATAGAATCAGAGGCTTTTAAATATGGTTTTTACTAAACATGTGACGCGAACAAATCATTCAAAGACGAGAATGTGGCATAGACAAAAAGGGAATCACAAGCATTGAGATGAATGAATAGGTATGACACAAAGTGTTCTCATGGTTGGACTCACATACTCATGAGTAGGGGCTGGTGACCCCACTCAAGAATTTTTTCATATTAATTTGGTTTAATTTTTTTGCTTTGACCAAGTTATATATGTATTTATGTTTATAGATTTGACCCCACTTATCTAATTTTCTTCTATTTTATATTGTATTATTTTGAATTTGGACTCTCTAAAGTTAATTCCTCAGTCCGTCCTTGAGTGTTCTGGTATAATCACATCATCAACTACAAATATAAAAATTTTCACATCCAATGGAAGAAGTACATTTGGTTGACAAATGAAGCCATATTCTTAATAAAACAATAAGTAAAAGGTAAACATGAATGCCACGAGACATACCTTACCAGCAAAAATAGGGCGAACTTGTTCAAATATTTCATCGACTGTACCTACAGCATTGATCTGCATGCAAAACCTTCTTTCACTACAACTGAGGTATAATTTTCAAAATTTGAAGCTATTTTAGAAAAAGATCTCTATGAACTCAGGTGGACTGTGAGACAGAGAGGACACAGGTTAAGAGAGGGAATAAATGCAAATAAGAAAACCCAATCCACATCCTTGAACACTATGTCTGTTCTGACAGTCCAATTAAATTCATAAATAGGAATGAAAAAGCTGACAGGTTAAACTTTACTATAACTAATAAGCTAATAAAATTCTGACCCCCTATTCACTAATTACTAAATATTACCGTATAAAGTTTTCCCCTCTTTGAATAGTAATTGATAACAGGAAGATTTAATGCTTCAAACACTATGAGACGTTTCTTGATTGTAACTATGTTATCATCAACTCGACCCTGCAATTAAACAATATGTTATCTTAAAGAGTGGTATCAACAGAATATCTATACATGGAAAAATATAAGAGATAAGCACCTCGTTACGGTTCAGAACTCTTTTCACCATCTCTTCTTGAGGACAATCAAAGAAAATAACAAGATCTGGTTCTGCTCCAGTCTGCATCAGAAACAATATTGGTCATCTCATGCAAGTGTCCTTAAACAAATGATAAATATGGGTTCTTTTTACTGGTTTACTTGAACTTGTTTTCAGGATTATTACTGCGTAAGATCTCCCTATCAGGACCAATTTACTCTTATATCTCCTCAACCCCAACCACCCCACCCCCTTTTCTTTCTCTCGAGGCCACGTGTAGGAAGAATCTCATGACTTCACTAACAGGCTCATTGTACTCAACAAATGTAACAAACTTTATTAACCTTAATCCTGTCCATCATATGTATAGCCAAAATAAAGCCAATACAACAAACAATAAAACATAACTTTCTTCAGCCCATTTCATGAAAGAGGAAACAGAGAGAGGAACTCACAATATTCTCAAAAGCAATGCGATTCTCCTCAGTTCGTGGAAAACCATCAATGAGGAATCTACGGCTATCACTTGATTCCATCTCCTTTTGGATCAATTTGACAGTTACTTCTGATGGGACAATCTTTCCTTCCTTAATTGTGTTAAGAATCATGGCACTGAAATTGCAGTTCCATTTTCAGAGGATTCATAACTTTGAAGGTATCTATAATTGAACAATTCTCAATAATGGGAATGAGAATCATTACCCATATTCACTGTTAGAAGCTATTTCTCTCCTCAATAATTCTCCTGCACTTAGATGCTTGAATCCAAAATTGTTAACAATCTTAGCACATTGAGTACCTTTTCCACTACCAGGGCCACCTGAGAGCTTGGGAAGAAAAGTTTCTATCACATATACGCATCATAAATTTTATATTGAAGCATCAAAAAGTTTTGGAAGTAATATCTATGGAAATCTTCACATGGACATGCCTACTTTTAACATTTTTTTAAGTAACCAAAACTGATCAACGTTCTTTCAATCTGATCAGTCTTGAAAATTGATTTATCAAGATGTGAAAGATGTGAAGACCCACCTTAACAAAAATCAGGGAACAAGTTATCTAAATCCATACCTTCTTCTAGATATCCCAATATGCTTTAGTTGAGATTTAAGGAATGAGAACTTTAAACCATGAATTTGGTACCTTAAGAACATCAAAGTACTTTTTCATGACAGCATACAAAAAATTAATATGGGATCCTTTAATTAATCACTAATGATATACAATTATTACCTAAGACAAAAGTGATGAATGGAGCTTTTCCTTTTGAGAACAGTCCACCTTTTGCCTGCATCAAAATAAGGAGCACAATTAACACAATCCAGTTTAACAATTAAGTGCTCTTTATATATGCCCTGCATGATGGAGCAAAAGATTGTCAGTACATCCCACATCTATGGATGAGAGTCAACCACAGGAAAATAAGCAAATACTCGTTGAAAAAAATAATTCTCATAGTTCAACTTAAGTTTCAATTTGATGTTTGGAAACCTTATACTTTGTAACAGACTTATTGCAGGACATAAACATACTATATATAGACAGCAAACCCAATGTTGTATAACTGCCAAACCATAAAAGATTAAGTAATAATAAGGGATGTAGCACAACTAGAAATCCCCACATAGAGAATTGGTGATGCTGANCTCTCCAAACAACCAGGCACCTCACACCCTGCATTTATTGCCTCAAATGTCTCTTATGCCCTTTATATTGATAAACATGATTAATGGGAGGTCTATCAATAGCCCCCCCCATGAAGAGCCACCTTGTTCTCAAGGTGGAATTGGCGAAATTGCAGATTGATAACATCAAAAGCCTCCCACGATGCTTCAAAGGGAGCCAAATCCTTCCATTTTATAAGGACTTCTCGAGAGCCATCTAATAAAGTGTGGACTGCCAGTACTGATTCTGGGTGAACAAGGAGTTCCATTTCCTCGGTGAGGAAAGAGGGTAGGGGCTGGATGGGCACCGAGGGGTGCAGGCTACGTTTAAGTTGAGAAATGTGAAATCCTGGATGAATTTTTGCCGTAGCGGGCAGCTCTAACTTGTAAGCAAGCTGTCCAATCTTTTCTAAGATGGTAAAAGGGCCATAAAATCTCGAGCTTAGTTTCTATTCAATTTCTTGGTTAAGGATTTAAAACGATACGGTTGGAGCTTCAAATAGACCTGGTCCCCTGGTTGAAAACTATCATCCCGACAGCGCAGGTCAACTGTGCCCTTCATCTGTTCTTGAGCAACAACTAAGTTATGTTTCAATTCCTCAAAAATTGCATTGCGTGCAGCCATCTGCTGGTTCACTTCTTCCACAACAGAAGGATAATTAGTAAACTTCAGGAGATTGGGTGGATCCCTTCCATATAGGGCTTTGAAGGGGGTCATTTTTATGGAATTGTGATGGGTGGTATTGTACCAATATTCTGCCCAGGACAGCCACCTATGCCACTGTTTGGGCTGCGAACTACATAAGCAGCGTAGGTAAGTTTCCAAAGAGTGGTTGACCACCTCCGTCTGGCCATTAGTTTGAGGATGATATGCTGAGCTGAACTTCAACGAAGTGCCAGCAACCTTGAACAACTCCTGCCAAAACTGACTAAGAAAGACCCTATCTCTGTCCGAGACTATGGATTTGGGAAATCCATGGAGCTTCACAATAACAAAGATAAAAAGTATAGCAACATCTTTAGCGTTGTAGGGATGGCACAGGGGAATGAAATGTCCGTATTTAGTAAGCCTATCCACCACAACCATAATAGTATCCTGTCCTTTTGACTTTGGTAACCCACCAATGAAATCCATGCTGATATCTTCAAAAACTTGGGTTGGAATCGGTAAGGGCTGAAGTAAACCTGCTGGTTTGAGGGCAGAATACTTATTTAATTGGCAAATTGAGCACTGTTGGACATACCTTTGCACATCTTTCTTAATTCCAGCCCAAAACACTATATTCATCAGTTTCTTGTATGTTCTGAAAAAACCTGAATGGCCCCCTCTCGGGCTGCAGTGAAATTCGGCTAATAGTTTAAGAATGAATTTCGAATTTATGGGTAATACCAATCTGTTTTTGTAGACGAGACAGCCACGGCGAAAACCATAATGGGGATGGCTGGAAGGGTAAAAAAGAAGGTCTTGGATGATTGCTTGGAGCTTGGGGTCTTGTTGTGCCTCGGCAGCTAACTCATCAAATTCAGAAAATTGGATCACCGAAATGGCCTCCAATTCAGCACCCTCTCCTCGTCTTGATAATGCATCAGCTACCTGGTTTGAGCTACCAGGTTAGTAATGGATTTCAAAGGAAAGGCCGATGATCTTAGAAATCCACTTTTGTTGTTCGGGTGTCTTGGCACGTTGATCTATCAAGAACTGCAGGCTGCGCTGGTCAATTTAATGATAAATTTGCGGCCACTAAGGTAGTGACTCCACTTGTGGACAGCAAACACAATGGCCATCAGCTCTCTTTCGTATGCATGTCAGGACTGGTTGGAGAAGGCTTGGCTAATGAATGCGATGGGACGCTGATTCTGGACCAGGACAACACCAATCCCCTGGCCCGATGCGTCTGTGTGGACTTCAAAAGGCAAAGTGAAATCAGGTACTGCCAGACCAAGTACCTCAGTCATTGCAGCTTTAAGAGTTTCAAAAGCCTGCTGTGCTTGGTCAGTCCATGCAAAAGAATCCTTTCTCAGTAACTGTGTTAAGGCCTACGCGATTAAACCATAATTCTGCACAAAGCGGCGGTAGTAACTGGTTAAGCCCAGAAAACCCCGTAATCCTTTGATTGTGCATGGGACGTGCCAAGATAGCATTGAATCAATCTTTTGTGGGTCAGCCTCTACCCCTTTTGCTGAGATTAAATGACCCAAATACTCCAAACGTTGACGGGCAAATAGACACTTCTTGTAATTGATAACCAATTCGTGCTTGGTGAGAATCTGGAAGGTGTGTCGCATGTGCAGCAGATGGGTCTTCAAATCAAGGCTGTAAATCAGAATATCGTCAAAGAATACAAGTATAAACTTCCGCAAGACTGATATAAAAATAGTGTTCATTAAAGCTTGAAAAGTGGAAGGGGCATTGGTCAACCCGAAGGGCATGACCAGGAACTCATAGTGCCCTTCGTGGGTTCTAAATGCTGTTTTGGGGACGTCCTCTTCTTTAACCCGAATCTGGTGGTAACCTGATTTGAGGTCCAGTTTTGTAAAAATGGATGCCCTGATAGTTCGTCCAGCAGCTCATCAATTGAGGGAATTGGAAATTTGTCTGGAATAGTGATGTTATTAAGTGCCCGATAATCGACACAAAACCGCCAACTGCCATCCTTCTTTTTTACCAATAGAACCGGACTAGCAAAAGAACTTGTGCTGGGTTGTATAATACCTGCCATCAGCATCTCACCTACCAACCTTTCAATTTCATTTTTCTGGGTAAAGAACTATTTGTACGGGCGGATGTTGGGAGGTTTGGTATTGGTTTCTAAAACTATGGCGTGGTCAGTGGGTCTCTTGGGTGGGAGTGTAGTCGGCTGTTCAAACAGGTGGCTAAATCCATCAACAACTGCTGCGGTTGCTGGGTCCATGGGTTCCTCTGTTTCCTCTTCTTTAACACCAATGGAGCATAACTCAACCACATATCCTGCATCCTCTCTCTGGAAGGATTTCAGCATTGCCCTTAGTGATACCATTGTCTTGACTAACGATGGATCCCCTTGTAGAACCACCTTCTTCCCTTCACTGAAAAATTCCATTGTCAGATTTCTCCAATTTGCACAAACATCTCCCTGTGTACTAAGCCAAGAAATTCCTAGCACAACATTGGCCCCTCCTAACTCAAATGGAAAATAGTCCTAACACAATTCAATACTTTGCATTCGCAATGGCACTCCTCTCCAAATTCCCTCTCCTCTAACTGTAAATCTGTTTCCCACCATCACCCCAAAGGATTTACCTCTCTCCAATAGTAGCTCTAATTTTCACACCAATTCGTGCGAAATGAAATTGTGGGAAGCCCCACTGTCAACCAAAACAATCACCTCTGTACCTCCAATCACCCCTTTTAATTTTAGGGTTTTATCAGTGGTTACCCCTACGATTGAGTGCATCGATAGGGCCAATGGATTACCTTCGTCAGATATTTTCGAGGTGGGTTCAGGACTGCCGTCGTTGTTTTCTGCCCCGTCGTCATTAGTCACTAACAGTATCTGGATCGATTTGCTCCGACAGCGGTGATTTGGCCCATATTTCTCATCACAATGGAAACAGAGACCCTTTTCTCGTTTTTGTTGCAGCTCGACGTCGGACATTCGCCAGAAATTATCCCCGCGGAAGTTCTGCGTCGTCGCGTCGCTGCTTAATTTGTTTCTATGGTGAAATCGATTTGGGGAAAATTAGGGATTTAGATCTGTATTTCGCGATGGGTTAGTCCACTAATTTGGGTGACCGGGTTTCGGGTTTGGGCTTGGGGTGACCCGAGTGTAATAATCCAGTTTGTTTCCTTGGGCTTTAGTAAACCTGGCCCGATTTTTGTCTGAAACCCAATTTCGTTCCTCCACGCGATGGGCCTGATCCATCAAGGCAAACAGAGACGTGGGCTTCGTTAGGCGAATCTCAGCTCTTATTTCCTCCTCTAACCCATTTGCAAAAACCCCCATCAGAATGTCTTCTCCTACCTCACGCAAGGGTGCTGCGTGAGCTTCAAAATTTTCCCTGTACTCTGTCACTGTACCCATCTGCTTCAGAGCTACCAAAGCTTCATAGGCTGAGCCCTAAATGATGGTCTGAACCTCTCCACCACTGCAGTTTTAAAATCTATCCAAGAACCAATGGGTGCCTTAGACTCCACCCACTGATACCAGTTCAAGGCACGACCTTCCATACACACGGCGGCTGCCGCCACCTTTTCTTCCTCCCCATATTGATTCACCAAAAAATATCGGTCAGCTCTGAATGTCCATCCATAAGGATCTTCCCCGTTGAATATGGGTAGTTCCAACTTCTTCACCTTTGAGTTCTTTCCCTCCTTGTTCCTATCCACTCCCCTACTGTCACTACTGTTGGAAGCCTCACCGTTAGATTCTTTCCCCTTATCCCGGCTCATATTTGCATCCTTCTCCTCCTTAAACTTCATCCACTCACGAAGCTCTAGTAAATAGCCCTTAATACTCCCTAGTTCTTCCTTTACAGTTCCTATTTCCTTCTCGACGTTCCCCATTTCCTTTTCCAAACCTTCCATTCTGTTCTCCCTCTTCGATTTAACCATTACCCAACGAGGCTCTGATACCAATTTGTTAAGACTCCCTGCACTATCAACCAGCAAACACACAAGCAATCCCCAAAACAGAAA